AAAAATATCCAGAAAAATATTGAGCAAATAGCACACTTCCAATACTACTACTACTACTACTTACTTACTTACTTACTTACTTACTTACTTACTTACTTACTTACTTACTTACTTACTTACTTACTTACTTACTTACTTACTTACTTACTTACTTACTTACTTACTTACTTACTCCTGTTACTCCCAATGGAGCATAGTCCACCGACCAGCATTCTCCAATACACTCTGTCCTGAGCCTTCGTTTCCAGTTCTATCCTATTTTTGTCCATTTTTCTCATATCTGTCTCCATTTCTCGACGTAATGTGTTCTTTGGTCTTTCTCTCCTCCTTTAACCTTCAGGATCCCATATGAGGGCTTACCTTGTGACGCAGTTGGATGTTTTCTTCAACGTGTGTCTCATCTACTTCCAGCGCTTCTTCCTGATTTCTTCCTCTGGTAAGATTTGGTTTGTTCTCTCTCATAGTAGGTTGTTGCACGACTACTAATACTACCAATAATAATAATATGAACCTAACCTAATCACTTTGAATAGATAGATATAACGTATGATATTATTCACTACTGACAATCTCTGATTTTAAAAAAAACGTGACAAAAATTCAATTTATTCAATATGTAAGAAAAGAATGTCTTGAATATGTCATCATTGATTGTTCTTATCATTTACCAATGACTTTTTTTCTCTCTTTTTTTTTAAACATCGTTTTTCTTTTCTCTAATGAATTAACTCAATGATAACTTGAGTTATTCAGTATCCTCTGTCTTTCTATATGACGTAATTAATTAAATAGTAATCAAGAGAAAGAGAGGGAGAGAGAGATAGAGAAAGAAAGAAAGAAAGAAAGAAAGAAAGAAAGAAAGAAAGAAGGAAAGAAAGAGGGAGAACGCATACAAGTAATATTAAGAAGTATAATCTAGAAATTTCAATATCAACTAAACATATGGGATGTGTTATCGTAATCATGAATTGAATTATGCAATTTCACGTGTAAATATGAATCCTATATGTCAATGGGTAAATTTAACGGTAATAGTATAAAATGATAAGCTATTGAATAATGACTTCACATGTATAAGATAGCACGTGAAGTGTAAATAGAATAAATTATTTATTATTTTTTAAACGAACGAAGGAACCAAAAAGGAAACATTGACAAGTTTCGTCTTATGTATGATTGATTGATAAAAGCAGAAAAAAAACAATCTAAGAAAAGGAAAAGAAAAAACTCTAATCTTATCTAGTTTGAGTTAGTCATTATTAGTTATGATAATGAAGACAGTAAGTTTCATGAATTAGTTAAGGCGTTGTAAAAATATGATACTTTGGATTTCAATTCTACGAATGTCATCCCAGAGAATTTTATGTCATACATTATTTGCCGATTTTGGGACTGGTTGGAAAAAGTGGAGAGGTGGTCAATGTATAACATGGATGTTGTGGTATGAAAGAAAACTGTACAGGTCTGACTTCTGTTGGTCTATCACGACTCTCTAGTTGGGGTCTTAGAGATGGTGCAACACAGTGGCTAGAGATGTTATCAGATATGGCTCAGAATAGAAGTCAATGGGGATCCTGATGGAACCATATTTTAATTCCTAAAAAAAGTAGATGTAACTTATCTAACTGAAAGAATTCGTTTTGGTTGTACCTTTACTAATTCATCTGCTTCTCACATTATTATTACTATTTCACCATCATACGTTAACTTGTGTTCGTTATTGTTATCCCTTTTCTTATACACACTTTACGTACTCTATCTCTTCACATTCTCATTCGAATATATATCTGGTACCCCTTTGTACCAATATTTATGTGTTCAAATAAATAAAAATAAATAATATCGACTTAGAAGAAGAAAGGAGATTTCTAGAGTAGTTTTTGTTTTTAAAAAAATATTGGAATCGTTCAAGTTTTACTCAGAAACGAGAATCTATGATACGGTTACAGTTAGAAAATGTATGGTAGTTTTCACTGATAACAAAACTAGATCATCATTCTGTTTAAATATATGTACTTAGGTCTTAAGAAAAAAGTAACGCGATTAGTATATGACTGACTTCATTCAGTTGCCAATCAACTATTTTGAAGAAGTGATGTTGTTAAAGAATCTATCAACTGTTTACAATAAACGAAATCGATTTCTTCTTATCGAAATAAGACATTGTTTTATGTAACTTCAATAGTTGAGATCATGAGTCAGTTGAAGGTAGACCACCAAACAAAACCTGAAATCACTGGTTTTCCATGATATCCACGAAACCCCTACTGATACTGTTTTGTGTACAAATTGAAATTAATCGATAGAAATTCTAATTCAAAAATACCTTCTTCAATATTATGCAATCACATCTTATCCAGTACAATATTAATACAATTTCAGGATGTTTTATACACTTCAAGAATATTCATAATCATTACTCGTTTTATTTTTAGTCAACAGTTCGAACTAATCACAATGCTTAAATTATTTCAAATTTGACTGAATGAAGTTATCCACCAAATGTTCTATTTTTTTCTATCTCCTTCATCGTTGTTAAAGCCTGCCTGTTGATCAATCTATAATGGGATATGGTCATCTTGTAAGAACTGCCTTGATGTTGTCACTGAATTATAAATTCCTCGTAAGATTAGGTTGTAGCTAGCAGTAGAGTATAAACGCATGCATTTTTTTTATCATATTTAGCGCTCCTGTATTGCTGAGTCAATATTAAGATGATGAACGCTTTGTTTAAATTTCAGTGTGAATATGAACAGTGAATAAAAGTTATATGTACGTTGGCAGATTCAAAATAGGATGAATTGCATGTCGAATACTTTTCATCCCACACCTGTTATAGTTAACTACTATCATAGTTATTTTCATTATCATAAGTAAATGTACTATATGAGTATACAGTAAGTCGATATCTCATAGCACTTCTTGTTCTTCTGTTTTTTTCTCTTCACATGTTATCCTTCACTGTTTCCCCCTCACAAGCATACAAAGTACTTTCGCTCTAGATGTAAACTGTTACAACCTCTAATAATCCAACATTTCATATTATATACAATATGTCACATCACTTCAACTGGTAGCCCTACTGAAACTTGATTGATAAAGTTCAGTCAACATTAATCAACTTGATAAAAAGCAATTTCATCACTACTCACTGAAAAGTTTCATTTCTCAAAACGATATTTATTAAATGGAAAAACTTTCATGATACCTTAACATGGGGGTTGTGGAGATTGTAGTGATTTTAGTAATTGAATTCATGAACTAGACTACCTATGAAAACCTGAAAGTACTGTGCAGCCGTTTCGTCTTAGTATAGGACTCTTCAGTAGTGTGCCTCCACGATCTCTCAGCAGAGAGTCGAACCCAGGACAATTGGTCTCACTGGCGAACGCTTAAACTTTAGGCCACTGAGCCCGCATCCAACGGTATTAATATCTAACTTCAACCAACCCATGATACTAGGAAGAAACGGCCGTCCAGTGCTTCCAGATTTTCAATGGTAGTCTAGTTTATATCGATTCATGAATTCAATTAGTAAAAACCTTAATATTTGTTCTTTTTCGGCATAAAGGTTCTAAAGAGATGGTGGAATTTCATAATTTACATTATGAATCGAATTTAGTTCAATTATCCACTGAGAATCCAAAAGCACTAGACAACTATTTCATCATAGTATGATACTTCTCATGAATGTCCAACTATCCATTTGGGATGTTCAGAACATGACTTTAGGTTCGATCCCCAGTGAAGTTATACATATATATCTAAGTATTTAAATAAAGTTGAAGTTATATACACCATAATAACAATAATCACCGTGACTAAAGTAATAAACAATAATTAAAATTTTGCTTCGAATTATTATATTTTTTTTCAATTAAAATTAATCTTTATATTTGAAAATTCACATTAACATTGTAATGTAAACATTGATGAATGTATACATGAAATTTAATGTTTTGTGTTGATAAGAATTAAATAAACAAAATCGAATGAACTATATACATATATAGATAGATAGATAGTTTCTATCTTAATTAGTTCATGAAATAAATGTACTCTTTGTTCCTTCCTTCTTGTTGGCACCGTTGTTGTTATGCTGATGGTATTCATGTTGATGATAACTTTAATGGAGCAGTGATTTTGACAGTCGTTAATATAGTGATTGTTCAATGTTATAATTAGTGTTGTCTTCTTTTTATCACCACCTCTTCCGGGACTTTATAGTTGTCACTGCTTAATGTTTATTATAATTTGTGTGCTTATATGATTGACTATCCCTCACCGACACACACACACAAACTCTGTATGTATGTAGGTTTGTGTGTTTACACTATTATTTAAACTTCACCTGTTTTTCTATTTTCACTATACACCTAAGCCAAGCTTGTTTACAAGATCGACAGTGAATGAAATATTTCATCTCGGTGGTATGAATAATAATAATAATAATAATAATATTAATAATAATAATAATAATAGTGACAATCACTGTATATAAAGCACCTGCCTACATTATAACATTCAAGAATCTTACATATATGTATATATATGTATATTATACATGTATATAAACATACAGTTTTGCTGTTACCACTAGTACTAATACTACTATCAATACTATTATGACTATTACGATTATTACTATAAACTATTTGTATACAATTTAATTTTGTTATAATTGTACAATGATAAAAGAGTTATATCCGGTTCATTAGCGGATGTCTATACGTTCACATGCATGCATGCACACACACATACACACAAGTACACGAACAAGAAAACAAATACATTCGACACAGAGACATTGGTAAAATTGATGAAATATACACATATATATCTATATACATGAAGAAATTCTACTAATAATGAATGATATATTTGTTTACAATAATTAGCAATATCTTCATTAAAACTAGAATTTGCAAAAACTGATACAAATTAGTTAAATGTTTGATAGAGAGAATTATGGTAATATTTAAATATTGAATGATGATAAGATGTTAAGGTATACTACTACTACTACTACTACTACTACTACTACTACTACTACCACTACTACTACTACTACTACTACTACTACTACTACTATTACTATTACTAATACTAATACTAATACTAATACTAATACTAATACTACTAATACTAATACTAATACTAATACTAATACTAATACTACTAATACTACTAATACTAATACTAATACTAATACTAATACTTCACTTGGTATTGCTTTGCTTGTATCTTCCTATTGAGGTTTAAGACTGCAATTGATCAGTCTGTTATTGGCATATGTGCATACTGTGTGTATGCCTCGATATTGCCTTAATTCACAAGCTTTTATAAGCAAAGATAGATGGTGGCTAGCAGTTTCTTCTTTTTGTTGTTGTTGACTGTTTTGAAATTTTTGAAATCTTAGTATGTACAGAACAAGAGTTTGTTTTACTTGATCTTACAGTTTGTCAATATCAGATGATTAACTTTAATGTAAAAAAAGGAAAAGATTGAAATGTACAGTAGAAAAATTGTAGAACTATTGTTCTTATCAATGTTTACTGAAATTCCAGGTAGCATCAGTTTTTCTAGCTAGTTTACGAAGAAGGACAACTCACCTGGTCATTACCATAAAATAAGCCAGACTATGTATTAACTGGAAAGTGTAATTTTGTTGTAAGATGAAAGATCACATCATACCCGTTCAACGTGAGTAGACTTGCCATCATCCACATAGCCTTCCTACATTAGTGATCCACAAAACGACTAATATATTTCAGGAGCTTACATTAGTAATAATTGGCAATGGTTCTGTTTCAGTTTTATCGCTAGAAAAGTTATATTGTTTGAAAATCAGTGGATCTTTTACACAACATTTTTATAGACAAACAAGAACACAAAACAAAGTTATTATTATTTGTGGGTAGTATTGATCACAAACTAATTTTATTTGAAAACCAGATTTAGCTATTTCAACCTAGTATGGGACTCCTCTGGAGTGAACACGCATGATATCTCTACGGATTAAATCCATACTGTTCAGGTATCTCGGTGTACGTTTACCTATTAAAACCATTGAGTAGTTGTGCAATGGTACAGTTTTAAGTTCGGTCAGTTCGCTACAGAGTGAAATGACTATTCGAAGACAACAGTGACAAAAATTTCATTCATGACATGCCTAAATTCCACCAAACACAATTTATCGTGAGAAATCGGGAGCATGTTGTAATAATTCATTAACAACGTTACCTTTATAGTTTTAATTAGAGGGGTGGGTACCGATTTGTCCGATTTGTAGGTTGAATTCATTGCAGAACAATTCCATTTAGGATATTATTATTATTATTATAAAATTTAATTAATGATTCTTCTCCATATCATAGTCATTACACGTGGAAAAATTGTTAATTATCCGTAAATGGGATTTACCTATTTAGACATTCAAACAAGAGATTGATTCAGTGAATGGTCCTGATTTATTGTTAGGATATTTTTTGAAATGAAAGAAAACAATTAAAGTCGCTATGTGCCATAACTTGGTAAAAATTTAGTGAGGTTTCTAAATTTGTGACACGATTTTGTAAAGCAAAAACACACCATGATTGGTAAGAATTCTGAGATAATTAAAGTGGTTATTTCGCTTAGCTGCCTCAGTTTTTGTTGTCAGTCTAGATGATGATATATATCAGTCCTGAAGAAATATTCTGGATTTAAAGAGAAAGAAATACCACTGAAATATGTTGATAATGTTACTTAAGGTGTTTGCAGAACTATAATCTCATCATTTTATTTGCCTAATGGGACTATATCATTTGCTTACTTCTCATCAGTGAGTGAGTTTATAGAAAGTAGATTAGTCTCAGAATACTAATATTCAGATAATGTGATTTGTAGGAAGACATCTATAGAGAAAATAAATACGGATAGGTATAGTTAACCGCCCTTAATGGTGCTGTTTGTAGATAAGAACACCGATGACTCTTCATCATAAGCAGCAATCATAAATATATTTCACATGGTTTGTATACTTCTTCAATATGCCTTTCGATGAAAAGCCCTGGCAAAAAACCTTTCGGTCGACAGAGTCCACTGGTGCCTTCAAATCAACAAATATAACTATAGTCAGACATCTGTATGTATGTCTATGTTCTAGAACCTGATGAAGAGAGAACATTTGATTAATATGTCCACGTTTAGGTCTAACTTAAAACTGGCTCTGATATTTCCCATGTACCAGATAAGGGTCGGATGAGTAAAGACACTATATTGGTCAAATTAATTTTCCTGTGGTTATCACAAGAGGATATCTGCCCTTTTTCTTAATTGGAGCGATCGACAATCGAGACTAGTCGCACGGGATTAAGCGTGTTTGCCTAAATCTAGCTGGTATCCCAGACAAATTGACTACTAAGATTAATCTACCAACTTTGAAGGTTTTCAGAGTTAACGCATCAAATCATATTGTCCTCCCTCCCATCAAGTTATACACAGCCTTCTAAACATTAATAAGAGTTGAAAGTAATATTTAGGTTTTCTGCTGTTTGTTTAGAAGTAACGGGCAACTGATGACCAGTTAAATTGTTTCCTAAAAGATTCTGTCCAGCAATCTAATCTTCTGAATTAAAAATGGATCACAGTTCAGTCTTTTGTTGCTCTAACAGCTAACATTTTGTTTAAAGTTCTTGATATTTGCTTAGTGCTACTTATCAGCACTTCATCTTCCATATTTTTAAATTTGTTTTCCACACGTGCTTATGATATTTAAGCAAATGCTTTGACTCTATGCTTGAATAGTTATTGCTCTCCTTGATCCTTCGAACGTTCCAGAATGAGCTCCTGTGGAGCAATCAATTCACTGGAGATTCCTAAATCCACTAATTTTGCACAACATTTTGGTTTACGTTGCTAACAGACGTTATTGATACAGTTGTAGTTATTTGAAAATCAACTCAAGCTTCGTCGTGATAAGATTTTAGTTTATGATCTGTTAAGCATCTAACTGTAACGAATCTCTTCGACAACTCCAGAAGGTGCGAAACTTTTCCAATAATTTTCGAGGGTGGTATAGTCTATTTAGTTCATTCGTTATATTGGTCATTAAACTAGACAGTATCTCTTTTTACATCTAGAGCATAACAAAAAGAGATAACTATTGATAACTTTAATCTCAATTAGGATGTCTAGGAACCTTTCTTTCTTAAGGAGGTTAGAAAGCTCATTGTAAAACCTACCTTTTAATCGATCCTAGCTACCCTCAATGGTAGACGTATGCGGAAAAATAAGAGACGACGGTTTTCTTGTTCGCCTTACTGAGTCCTTCACCATATCGTTTACTTGAAATGATCATAGGCGATCGTCTACAGGAATCCTTTCAAGTGCTTGCTCTACGTTCAGAAATAACCAATTACCTACGCCAGCAATTCAGAGATCTTTGTTTCCTGACTTAGGACAGGGTTCAAATAATAAAAACTCCGACGTGAATTCATCAATTCTGTTTAAATAAATCTGAAATGACATTTCATGAAATCATATTGTTAACACATGTGACACACGTGGAAATAGTTGATATAAGAGGACAGGGATTGAGAATAAAAACAGAAGATATATTTAGAAATAAAGCAAAAATATGGAATATACGATTGATGAGTCCGAGTTCTGTCAGAGGTATGTTTAAATTTGTGACATTTTGGTTGTTTACAAATTGGAAAGATATTACTTAGTACGGTTCATGAAGGGAAAATTCTTTTAGTAGTATTTTCAGTGTCTTGAGAGTGTTACCACAACTGCTTCAGACCAGTCAAATACTGCTTTTTATGAACAGCTTTTGACATGTTGACTGTACATTTTAGGCCTCATAGCAAGGGACAATAAGTGCAGTGTGGTCTTTTTATAGTTGACTATTTTTAATTTCCACATTTGTTTAGAAAGAAACATAAATGCGGATACTAGTTGCCTGAGGAAAACAACGTACTGTCGTTACGTCTCAGTACAGTTTGTGGCGCCCACAAATGCCATGGTACGGCCGAGGGTGGGGATAATCGACTCTCCCTCTCGAAATGTTCTCACATGGCCACGTGTATACAGCCACTACTAGGGAAGCCCTACTCACTGCCTTCTCGCACCAAGGGTGTTGTTTACGAAAATCGAACGTCTGGCGCTTTAACCGGTTTGGTGGATATGGAAGATCCACCTAGGGTAGTTGGAAAAACATGAATCCAAATCAGTGGTGCACATGGGCTCCAGTATCCTGAGGGAACAAGTGGAGTATGAACCAGTTTTTGGTCACCGGCTACCATGTGACTGTCTTGTAAGTCAAATGCTCCGAGTGTGGCCCCTAAGAATTGTCAGTTCTACACATTTTTCTAAAGATTATCATCGTTCTTGTAACAAATATTTCGTCCATTTTAATTTATTTTTGTAATCATTGTGTCGAATCTTCTCGTTAAGACTGCAATTAGTGATGTGTGAATCCTGCATGAACTGACTCAATATTGTCAGTAATTACTAAACCGAACAAAGCGCGCATCCTGGGTCTCGCTGATAGCTACTGTTCATCTCTGTTTATAATGTTTGTGAATTACTAGAAATATCGAGACTGTTCAATTGCAGTCCTAAACGTCAATAGGAAAATTCAAACGGTCAATGCAAAAATGAATTAATATTCTCCCCATTGCACGAACTAGTGGCTAATTAGATAACACAGACATTTGAAGCGGATGGTACTTGGTACGAATACTGGAGTGAACATGAGCTCTGAAATGATGGTACATCCAGCTGACAGGTCTAAATCTGGGGTTTTATGCCCGTCCTGAATTCCATAGCTAATCACCATTCATCTCTGCTTAACATACTTCGTCTATATATGTCGATACGTTCATAGTTTTTGCTTAACGATAATACTTTTAGTAATCCAATTGACAAATTCACAGTTTTTTCTGATTACTTTTCATTATCATCATCATCACCATTTAACAGGATTAAACTTCACTATAGAATCATACTGAATGTAAAATATCATAATTTTATCGATTTTCTTTCTATACTATTATGATTATGAAATTAACCATATTCTATCTATACATTCTAATATTGTGTCACATTAATGAGATAACAACATAAGATTTTCATTTCATTAGAAATGTAAAATTTTCTCACTTTTTCCCTTCTTTTTTAAATACAATTCAATGATTGGTTAAAAAAAAGAAGTGTGAAATAACATTTCCTCTCATTAATCTATTAACAATAAAAACCCCTTCGTAAG